GTTTATGCGTCATTGGAACCTTTGTTGACATATGGGTCACTTTTCCTGTGACAAGCCTGCTGGAGAAAACATGCTCCATGGTGAGGCACAATAGCGAAGCGCCTTTTTCAGTTCTCCACAGTGACTCACCCATGCTATGCCAAAAAGCTATCATCGCTCTGACTACCCAGACACTTACGACTTCTTCTCTTCGGCTTGTCAAATACCATCGTTACAAATTTCGCGACATACAGTAGCGGTCAAAAGTGTTCGCCGAAACGATTTTTAGTGCATTATTTTTTCTCGCTTGAGCAACGCCCTCCAAAGATTGATACTATGTTTCTAGTGTTTTTATATCCTCAAGCCTTAAAGAATCAGGATGTTCAAAAGAAAAATTTCGAGGCCACCATGATTTTTTTCTGGCAAAAAAGAGAAGCACGGAAAACCGTTCCAGTGAGCACTTTTGACCACTACTGTACAAGCGTTAAACTCCATACTGCAGTCGTGCCCTACCATTTGAATGGCTTTGTAAGAATGGAAGGTTTGGGTGTCTCGGAGAGAATTTGATCCACCCAACAGTGTAAATGCAACTTTAACCTACTCTCCAGATGTGCTTGATCTTCCAATGTCAATTTGTAGTGCAGTAGCGAAAACAAAATAAGATAAGATAAGATCAGACCCGGCATAAGATCTTGGGTGCGAGCTCTACAGAAGGAAGGTCCTGCCTTGTTTGGGTGGCTTGACACGCTTCCCAACCCTCAGATCTTATACTTATGCTATCCACTAGTAATTGAACTTTAGACCGGGATTAATCAGGTGGCCCGCATCTGGAAAGTTTCTGTTCCTAATAGGATTACATGGTTTTCTCGGCCCTCATTCCGTCACCACTGTTCCATCATGCAGCGTGGTGCGATGCTTATCCGAGTGGCAGTTGTGCAACATCGGCCGATATCTTCGTCAGATTTCGATGAGTTTCCAAGATTTCCAACGCTCACCCACTCACTTACCGGCACTGCGTCACGTCGGCGTAGAAAGCGAATCGGGAAAGCGAAATAAAAACCATAGAAAAGAAAAACCGACAACGGCGGTGACGATATGGCCGGCGCACTGGAATGCAGCTATCTGACCCGAACCATTGGACTGCGGTATCGGCTAAGGAAGAACGAGTTGAACGTCGGCGTGAAGCGATTATCGAGACCCGAGAGCTACTCCATGCGCTAGCTCTTAACTTCCTGCTTTCAAGTGGAGGGACGATGGAACTAGGCAAATGATTTTTCTGCCATCCCCTAGAAGTTTTTCGTTTCCTGTTTGCCATTGCATCTAAGAAGGTCGGATTTTATGGAAAATCTGACTATAAGAGCTCCTTTCCTTTCTTATTCATTCAGATTCATTGTCTATTGAATTTATGCTTGCAGGTCAGTTTGGGACCAGTCAGCCCAGTCCACCATGATGAGAGCCCATTAGGCCGATGTCAGACTTTGCGAATCGCGCGATTCGCTACTAGCGATTCGCGCGATTCGCTAGCGTCCGCGGTCGCGTTGCGGTACCAGCCAATTGAGTGATTCACTGGCCGCGACGCGACCGCAGACGCTAGCGAATCGCGCGATTCGCAAAGTCTGACATCGGCCTTAGGCGGAGGTGACCCCAATCGGCGTCTGATCCCGTGGCCGTGCACGGAAAGTGATGTCACAGCCACCACACCACCTTCTTCAATACTATAAATCGCATTCTAATAGAACAGAACCAACTGCACACTGAGGGCTGACAACTTGAACTTACGGGGTGGGACGAAATTCTGAATTCATTACTTTCTGGGACTGTACCAACTTTATTTGGCTCTAAGCCTAAGTGCATGTTTTGGTGGATCTTTTTGAGCTTAAGTGATGTAGAAGGCATAAGCTGCACTATACTGGAATTCCATGGGCTGTATGCAGCAAAAGCTGGTCGGAATATCCCTGAAGACTCGTCGGGCTTGCTGCATACGACCTTCGGGGATATATGTTCGGCCATGATATGCTCGGGGGTATATCCCCAGACGACCTCATGCAGCAAGCTCGGAAGGTCGTTGGGAATATTTCCCCAGAAACCTTGGGCTTGCTGCATACCACCCTAGAAGTGATTCACGTAGGCATTCAAAAATCAAAAGCTTTTCGTGTTTTGTGGGATACGCCACGAATTGTGTGCAAAGCGTGGAGGCCGTATGGGACTCAGAATGCGTGTCTGACACATGCGAATCCACCCAGATGCGTACATCGAACTATGACAGCTAACGCAGCAGTTTTTCTCGGAAGATGAATCTGCTATCAATTAACATAAAGAGATAATGCGATCGGGATGATTCAGAGAAGCGTTGGTGAAGGCGTAAGAGCGAGTCGACGCCTCTGACCACTGGATCACATCCGGTTGACATTCCTTGCTACTGAAGTAGATAACCAAAAGTTAAGGGACGTGGTTAGCGAATTATTCGACCCACATTGGTGGACATTCTGACCATAGCCGAATCAGCAAAAAAAATCATTTTGAAGAGCATTAGTTCTTTTATCTTTGAACTTCTGAACTTTTCCCAATCTAGTGTACGAGAATATTGGCAAACGGATGATCTCTTGCGACGGATCAGGTTGGATGCATTGATGATGGGAATCATGTCGCCCTTTCTGCACCCCAAATCGGTGTCCTACGCCCTCAACTTTCTGGGAATAATAGAAGGAGAAGGAAGTTACTGTTCACTCTGGTTTTTGAAACCGCCACTAAGGCGCTAATAACATTTATTCGGCTAGTTTCGGCCTCGCTCCTTCGTTAGAGCCTGAAGAGCCAAAAATAAGAGGTTTACTTTATCAGCGCCAGGTCCCCTAAAATGAATAGGAAAGACGAGTGCCTAGCCATAACTAACGAACTCGCGCCATTTTCTGACCTCTGTGGGCTTCGTTTGCCATCGGCTTCATGCCGAGGGGCCAGGTCATCTGAAGCCACCACCTTTGAGTCAGCTTCGTGGCGGTCGACTGCTCAAGGGAGTCCACTTCTTATGTGGTTACGATGCCTTTCTAAAACAAATGGGTCTACGAGGCGTTTCTTGAATTTTGAAAGGCGTTTGGGGGACAAGTCATCTTCATATTTGGGTTTTCAGGCTCTGACGAAGACGACAGGGCGAACCGCTGGCCGAATAAAGGTTATCA